GGGCTCTTGAAACACTGGCTTCTTAATGTCACTTCCTATTTCAAAATCAGTATTTTAAATCCTTATGCCTGTAAATACTTTATATTCCAAAAGCAAAGCAGCCCCACTAGCCACATTAGAGATGACTAACACTCGCCCATACAAATTAAAAGCCCAGTTAACTCTTCCTGTGCAGGACAAGAATTGCTTATCACTGAGTTCAGATGTCATTGCACTATCGTGTTCCCATCTCTGATGTGAAGGTCAGACAACTTTCTGCTACGAATGAGGGAGAAAGGATGCTGTGGTCAAGACTCTGCTCAGGCAGAAACACAGTCACAAATCCCATCTTTTTTCACCAGAGCATGGGAGGAGACTTGGTTATTTCTCCCACACACAGTTGATTCAGGGTTTTTTTGTTCTCCTTGGTGATTAAATACTAACTGGCATGTGAACTATAAGGGTGCTGATGGTTATCCTAAGGACAGAAACTCCACATCCCCCCTCCTGCTTGTATTGCCTAAGATGCTCAAGCCACTTTCACTGGCTTTGTCACTCCAAAGGCAATTTCTAAGCATGGCAATTCAATTTCCTTGCCCAGTGACAGCAGAGAGAGTATGCTAACCAGGTCATGCAATGAAATACGAACCAACAGACCAAGGATCACTAGCACAGCACCTTCAACCCATCCCACGCTTAGCAATGGGAACATGAACAATACTTGCATGTCTTTGCTAGATGACCCAAATAGTTTGGATTCAGAGACATCAATGTGCAGCATGAATACCTCCCTCTCTTGCCATGACTCCTTTGAATTTGCAATTTAAAAACCAAAGAGGACAGGCTTGGTTTCAGTGACAGGCCCCATGCCATTGCTGTCTTTTTAAAAAATCCATTAGGAATTCCAGTTAGAAGGAAAAACGCATATTTACATTTGTTAATTGTCTTCACCAGTTTTACCCATTAATGACTGCTGTCCCTCTCTCCTGCCAGATTACAGGTCTGAGGCTTTTCCTCCTGTAAGCTCAGCTTACAAAACATAAAGATAAGTAACAAATGAGGCAAAATAGCTTTGTTACGCAAAGACATAATCCACTGAGTTGTTCAGTCAATTAAAACAGGATGTTCCCACTGTGTACAAATGCAGCAGAGAGTCCTGAAATTCTTTGTGACAGACTTTGTAAAGCCAGATGAAGAGGCACATGTAAAACCCTGAAGACAGTGCCTTGTGCACTGGATGGGCTGGGCAGAGGGTGTAATTTTGCCTCGTGAGCTGTAGCTGTTGGCTGTGCCTGGTAGCAATAGGACTGATGAAGGCATTGCTTGAATTTCCCTATAAGTTTGGTTCTCTGCCCTGGGAGACAGGCATGCAGGGAAGCAGTTTAGATCTGCCAACAGCGGTGCAAGTAGGTGTTTGGGGCAATGGGAGAGGCTGGATTCAAGAGCACCAGGGGTTATCTGTGCAAAGCGTTGTCTTCATGGGTCATCACAGATGCAGAAACTTCTCTTTATTTTATCTGTGTCTTTCTGCTCTGGACATGGAAAAGTACTTGCTTTCCTCAACTCCTGCCATGTTACTCTTTTGTGTCAGGGAATTGGAGAGCATATATGTCCCTTATAAAAGACTACTTGGTTCTAGGGGGTGATGGCTTTGTGTGCAATAGCCCTTTTTTAGATGCTGCAGGAGGATGGGTGCTCAGCTTTTTAAAACAAAGACACAAAAACCCACAAAAAAAACTACAGGTGTGGAGCTGTGCTTTAATTTTAAGGGCAGGAACAGGTCAGGGGGCATTTCACCCAGCCTTGTTTAACCATTTCTTTGCTCAGTCTTGTTGGAAAGGGTTCACAGTGAACCTGTTGTTAATGAGCTTCTTCCAGTGAGACAAGCTGACACTACAACTAGGCTATTCCCAGCGCCCTTGTGACCAAGCTTCCGAAAGCAAATCCCCTGTATTAGGCTGACTTGATCTGAGTTTCAGTTTAACCTGCCCAAAATGAAGTCTGACTTTTAAAAAAGCACCAAAAGCCCCTGTGAAATCCTGTGGTTACTGTCAACAAGGAAAAGCTGTTCTCCCTATGCTTTGCAAGCATTTTTTGGGTGCCTGAGATGTTCTTTTCCTCTTCATGGCTCCATGCCAGCAATGAAAGCTCTACAAGTCTTTTCATACTCAACAGAGACATCTGTGCAGCACCAACCCTTCAGTAGCTTAATACAGCTGGAAGTGCCTGGATCGTAGTAAGCATCTCTATAGAAAATGAAGATGGAGGAGCAGCATCCAGCTCACAGTCTCAGCTGCCTCCTCTTTGTCTTTTCTAAGTGAGAAGCAATAAAAGCTGATTTACGTCATGAAAGCCAGCAGATGTGACGGATGCAGACAGACGGCAAATCAGCTGACTGAAGAGATGCTGCTTTTACTGCTGGCTTTTTGGAGAGGAACCATGTTAGGAGGCAGGAAATGGAATGCTTGGGGTTTCAGCTGGGAGAGGGCCAGAACCTATGGGTTTTCCACCTATGCTGGGGGTATAATAGGGCAGGTAAGATCCAGCTCCATCATTCTTCCTGTTTGGATTGGCCTTGCTCAGGGTTGTTTGTTTGGGTTAGGCAGGGGCATTCTGCAGGCACAGCAGTGCCAGTGATGAATCCTTTCCCCGTTTACAGTGAGTGTGTAAGTGAATAGCAGCTGCCTCTGCCCTCCTGTTGCTCAGCATCCCCAGAAAGGCTTTGTGAAAAGGGACTGAAATAGCAAGCAAATGTCAGCTCTGTGCCAGAGCAGTGCGAGCCTGCTTTCCTGGTGCAAAAGGAAAGTTGGAGATGTATAAATCCCAGTTTTCTGCAGTGGAGCACTGCAGGGGGCAGGCCGAGCTGGCACCCTGCTTGTCACTGGGGTGGTGCTGGGGGATGGACAGTCACTGGCAGAGCTCAGCACCCCAGAAGAGACGCTGTAACCTCCATCTCAGAGGAGCTGAGTTAAAGTTGACATTTAAAAATGGCACTGGCATTCAGGCTCTTCCATCTTGTGTACTGTGGCTTTGAATCACAGCTCTGGCACCCAAAGGTGACCTGTATTAAAAGCTGCCTTTGGATTCACTGTTTGGGTGTTAGAAGCCCAAGTTATACCTACAGATCGCCTTGTTCCCTACTGTGCTGGGTTCAGCAGTAGCAGTCATTTTTCTCCTTCTTGATAGCTGGTGCAGTGCTGTGTTTTGACTTTGGGCTGGGAACAGAGCTGATAACACCGATGTTTTGATTTGGCCAAGGACTTTGTGAGCCTCATGCTCTGCCAGAGGAGGGGAAGCTGGGAGGAAGCAGAGACAGGACACCTGACCCAAAGTGACCAAAGAGGTATTCCATACCACAGCATGTCATGCCAGGGATATAACTGGGAGTTACCTGGAGGGGCTAGGGGACTGCGGGGTTGGACGGTCGGTGATTGGTTGGGCTGGGGGGGGGTGAGTTATCGGTCGCCTGGTGATGAGGTGTTGTATTCTCTTCCCTTGTTATTTCCTTTATAATTGTTATTATTGGAGGTAGCAGTAGTGATTTGTGTTATACCTTAGTTACTAAACTGTTCTTATCTCAACCTGTGGGAGTTGCATTCTTTTTGATTCTCCTCTCCGTCCCTCCAGGAGTAGGGGGAGGGCAAAAAGGGGGGGAGTGAGGGAAAAAGCTGTCTGGGTTTAAACCATGAAACCTGCTCAGGTCACAGCTTAGCTCCCTGCCTCCTGGGGCTGCCTTCTCCCTCTGTATTCTTCTTTATGTCGTGGTTGTGTTTCCCCTGCTCAGCGGCAGAGCTCTATGGCACTGAGCTAATGACTTGGTTTTTCAAATCACGTCAGGTGACTTAGGTTCCTTCCCAATAAATCCTACAGGATTGTGTATCCTTGAGCATATTAGGGCCAGGATCAGAGGTAGGTGACAACTGAGGATTATAAATAAATGGACATATGAGGGTGTAGGGTATCTCAGTCAGACTGGAGGGACATAGTCATGATGTTAGTATCAGCCTGAATTCTGGCATCAGTACAACCCAAACAACCATTTGACTTCATCAGTTTTCTACAGCTCATAAACCTGAGTTAAACAGCCTAGAAACCACAGCCCCCTCCCAGCCTTCTGGGACAAGCTAACTGATACCTAACAGCAATCTTTCCCTCAGTTTCTTCCTCATTAACACTTTTCTGCAAGCCTACACCTTCAGCAGTAGGAGAATAAAGAGCCTCAGAGAGATAGAGTAGGCAGGATTGGGCCCTTCATGCTGCTGCAGAATGGACACAGATAAAATCGTTACCAAGTCTGAGTATAGCCTCCAATTTATTTTTGCAAGACAAATGCAGCTAGGTGCTTGATGGAGGTATCCCCATTACACTGACTGAATGGCCAAAATACACTAATGAGTTTTCTTGCATCCTCTCTGTGTATTTAATTCACTTGTATTAATTGCACTTTAATACCAGGAAGCATACGGGTCCTTGCTAGCTCTATTTCCAGGTGGCATTTTGAGCCTAACGTCACAGTGGGAAGTCATAAAAGCTCTCCTAGAGCAAATTACCTGAGGGATCAAACAGCTCCACTCTCACTTAGGAAAATTAATATCTGTAGCCTGAAGAAATAGGTTATATTCCTAGTCTGAGTCTGCCTTGGGCGTGCATGACCGTCCTGCACCTCTGCACCACGGCACAACTGCTTCCTTAACATTTGTTTTAAGAGCCCACCTCTATCTCCTCTTTCTGGACACAGGATTCTGTTAACACGTTTTGAAAACACACAGGCTAGTTAGAAAGGAGACATAAAACACTGCGACTTTACCAGCGCAAGGAAGCATTACCTGGGCATGCAGACTTGATTTTGAAGAGTGTGGAGGAGGACACATCTCCCCAGGATTTCAGAGTTAAGGGGGAGTGACTGACAAAAGCACATTACTGTAGCAGCCCAGTGAGCATTCAGTAATCTCTGAGTAGTTGCTGGCTATGCAGTATTCCATAAAGAAGTGCTGGGGCCTCCAAGACCCGGTAAGACTCACCGTGGTTTCGTCTTCATGAAGCACCTGGTCGTAGCCACTCAGTGCGACACAGAAAATGATCGCTGTAACATCCTCAAAGCAGTGAATCCACTTCTTGCGTTCTGACCGCTGGCCCCCAACATCAAAGAGCCTATGGCACAGGAGAGGACCATCAGTGCCTGCTCCTTCTTAGTTACAAGGAAACTTGAGCATTCTTGGTATTTCACAGAACGGTTTTGTTTGGAATGGATCTTCAGATCATACAGTTCCAACTCCCTGACACAGGCAAGGCCACCTTCCCCTAGATCATGTCCAACATGGCCTTGAAACACTGTCAGGGGTGGAGCACACTGTGTCTGGAAGGCTCCAAACACAAAGCAACATGTCTTTTACCACTGCCTTGGTTTTATTCCTCTGAGACTGGAGCTGAGGAGGACCAAAAGGAGCAGTTACAGCAAGGGATGTGGGAATCTGTGGGAGAACCTCAGAACTGTGCTGTGTCCCATATCGTCTGCAGAGGGAGAGACTGCATGCTCTTGAGCTTTATATACTCCAAATACTGTTTGTGTATGGTTTTCTGCCTTTATGTCCTTTTCTCTACTGGCTGGCATCATGAAGGTCAATACACAGTGTTAACCTTATGTGACTGACTCACTTTATGGAAAAGATTTGGCCAAATATTTTTACATTTATGAGGCTTGATCAGGCTTGACTGGTGGTCAATCTTACATTACACCTCCCAGCAAAGAGGTGCCATTTGGGTTAGAAGAAGCTACCATGAGCTTCCATCTTAAAGGCAGTGATTTTCAAGACAGGATCATATTGCTGACCCTCCAAAACACTGTGTCTTCTGCAGTGGGAGTCATCCATGCATTAACTAGAATTTAACAACTTCTCCTTTGGGAGCTATGGGAAAACTCTGTGACAAATAGATGTACCGAAAATCTACTGTGCACTTAGACTAACCTGAAGTGGAGGTTTTTGAACGTGAAGTGGGTTTCTACGATGCCAGTTGTTTTGACTCTGGTTCGGAGGATATCCTGCTCCGTGGGCTGGTAGTCTGCAGCTCCAATTCGATCTAAGCTGTCTAGGTAACTAAGAGAAAAAGTGAAAAGAAAAAGAAAACAGATAAGAATAAAGCACACATTAATCTTTGTCAATCTCAGATGAATCCTTCTGCTTCCTATTAATATTTTTCAATCTCATTTTTCATGGCTGAATGTATTGTAGTATATCCTATTCTGGTGAAAAACCAACCCCACTAACCTACGCATAAAATCTGATAGTGAACTGAAAGCAGGAAATTAAGTGTGCGTGTGTTGTGAGCCCTGGTTGCAATCTGCGAAAACACACAGCTTTAACATTGCTTGCTATTTTCATTCCCTGAGGGACGAGGTGCCCAATTTGTCCATTGTGCTGTATTCTGTACACGCACATGCTCTTCTGCAAGGGTTTATTCAGATAAGAGGTTGGGGCATATAGGTCTCATGCGCAGAACAGACAGGTTGAGTTACTTTCGGGAGATGCCTGTCCTTCTGCTAGTAAGGGAGGCAGGCTTGCTGGCTTGTTCTGAGGAGATGCCTTGCTTTCAGTCAATTCATATGAAGGAGATGAATCTCTGCCTGAGTGAGTCACTGCTTCAGTCTGAAACCAGCACAGAGCTGGGACTGCGGGAGATGCAGCACATGGACAAAACCCAGGATGGTAATACTCTGGGAGTATAAATAGGGGGTTTTGGTGGGCTAGAGGAGAGATTTAGCTTTCTAATACACTTGGATATTTTTAAAACATTTACCCTTATTCTACTGTGAACATTAGCAATGCCTCCATAGGCTGAAAATCTGGGCAAGAAGTCCTGTCTTTCGGCATGAAGTACTTTTGTAGAGGAGCCCACAGCTGTGCACATACGACCACAATCCATTTTCGTACCCGTTCAAGGCAATTTTTCAAAACAACTCAGCCCAACTAAATATAATTTATAAAGAAAAGAGGATCTTGGGATACAATTTAACATGAATTATAAACACAAATCTACATCACACAATAAAGTCTTTCTTCCCACCATCAAGCTGCACAGATATTCCAGTTCCTCTGAGAGGGGGTTTGATGTGTATTACAGGGCCTAAATGTCTACCCCTAACCCCAGGAGCATCAATCTAATGCACGTGAGATGTTTTCAATATACTGTGAACATAATAAAGCAGGTCTATGCATGAGCAGTTGTCTTGCCCTTTGATCTCTGTACTTCTGGCAGCATGGATGTCATCCAAAGGGACAGCAGGACAGGAGGTGACATGCCAAGGTTTTTAACACTGTGTTAAAAACTCATCTAGTCCCGATGAGTTACCCAATCACAATCACATGGTAACGAGCACACTTCCCCCTGTGCCTCGACAAAGCTTGGCCTGAAGGTGATGCCCTGTCCTCCCCTGGAGATGCTTTCCCTGGTGCATCAGAAAGCAGGAAAAAAATTCCCATTTGTGTCCTGGAGGGAGTGCTCTGAGCCACGGCTCTGGAGCTGGATGCCCGGTGTGCTGGGGCTGTGCGCTCTGCTACCCAAGAAAACTCACTGCCACTGGCATTCATGCCGACCCAACCAAATTCCATGCTACTGTGAAAAACATACCTCGCCCTGCTCCCATCACGTATTTTAGCTGCCCATCACATTCATCATTCATTATTGCTAAAAAATTGCAAGAATCACATCACCCAAAGTATTTAAGGTAAACAGGCTTATTTTTGTTTCAAGTAGTTAAAGCTTGTGGTTTTGTGACAGATGCTCCCTTAATAGCCTGATGATGGGTCCTGGATGGATGAATGGGGCTTCATTTGAAATCAGATCCTCTGCAATGACAGCTGAAGCCATGATCACTCATCTATTCACAACTCATGTTAACTCCTGTTATTTAAGAGACAGCTGCATTTCTTCACATATCCCTACAGACCAAGGCAGCTCTGCAGTGCTGTTACTCAGGGATTCAGGTTTTCGTCTGTCCTCAGGAACAAAATACTTCAAGGTGATGGTAAAAAGTGGAGGTGTAAGAGAGGATGGATTTTCTTTTCCTCTTAGAGTTCTTGGCAGTACCCTGAAGACCTTTATCACTTTCTCCATCTTCATTTTCTGTAATTTTCTATCATTCAGTTCTCTCCAATTTAAAGTTCCCTATCAATTACTCTTGCCTTTGAGGTCCGCCTTTAATGCTGGGAGTGCACCAAATGACAAAATCAGCTGCAAACTGGCCAAAGGATTTGGCACCACAGCAGCATAGTGACAGAGTTCTTTACTGGAACTGCTGCCTTCAACCTGCAATGATTTACTTGTGAACAGCAGCATCATTTGAATCCCAGGCCCTGTACTGGGATGTCAGGGGGTTCTCACTCTTACGGCACGCACAGCCTATAGCTCTTCCATGTGGTGTTCACCGGACTGCCCTAACAACAAACCAGCTCCAGATTAGCTTCATACAATCTGTCTCGGCGGTTTGGAAAGCTTCACTTCCCTTCACATCATTGCCAATGGAGGTGATGCAGCCACATGTGCCTGGCGCCACCTGAGTTACCCTGCAGGATTGGAGATCTGGGGGAGATGAGCAGTAGAGCGAGGATGGCTGAACAGCATCCATCCCATCCACCCTATCCTCCCTGACAGTACCCAGCTTCCAATTTCACTTGGGATATCTCCATAGGAACCTTGGCTGGGGGGCGTCTAACATCTGCCTGGGTAAGGGCAATGCTTCCCAGTACTTAGTGACAGAGGAGTGCTCATATCCCCAACACTCAGCCCGTCTGGGCTTCAGATGACCTGAGCTCTGCGAATACGGTGCCTCAGTCATTCCCATGCCAATACCTCCAGCCCAGCTCCAACACTTTTTCTGTTAATTCCCCTCTTCATTTCTTTCCTCATGTCTAGTCTTCCCCACCATTCTTCGTGTGTTTCTCAATGACTCAGATTCTTTTAGTTGCCTGTGTCTGCTTTTTGTCTGTTCATGGAAGTCTTGATGAGGGTCAACCATGCATTTCCATGAAGGTATACAACATTTTCAGTTGGCTTCATTCCAAAACTGTTTACTCCTCTGGCTGCTCTCTCTGGCCTTTCTACTATCTGGGGCTGCAGCAGATATTTTTTCCTCCTAGAGTTGGCTGCACTGAGCGAAACCCCATCAGTGCATACACCCCATGAATTCCAACTGGAGAAATGTGCCATGTCACGGCTGCCACGCTAACATCCAGCTGAATGGGAAGCCTGGCAGGCTGCTGTTTGAATGCTAAACTGATTTTAGCTGCTGATTCTCCTTGGTTCCTACTGGAGGTATCTCAGAGGCCTCATCTGGTGCTCCCTGCCCATGCTGCTTGTTTGGACCTGCTGGTCTCCTGTGGGTAAGCTTGAGCCAGTGGAGGATGGGATGTGTATTGTCCGGGAAGCTAGAGACCAGGTTAGGAAAGCTAAGGCCCAGTTAGAATGAAACTTGGCTAGGGATGTTAAGGATAACAGGAAGGGATTCTACAGGTACATAGCAAATGAAAAACAGATTAGGGAGAACGTAGGCCCCCTCAGGAAGCTCTCGGGTGAACTAGCTACACAGGATTTGGAGAAGGCTGAGGTTCTGAATGACTTCTTTGCCTTGGTCTTCACTGGCAAAGGCTCTGACACCACCACCCAAGTCTTGGAAGGCAGACGCAGGGACTGTGAGAATGAAGACCTTGGGCCCACTGCAGGAGAGAAATTGGTTCGAGACCATCTTAAAAATCTGAACGTGCACAAGTCCATGGGTCCTGATGAAATCCATCCGCGGGTCCTGAAGGAGCTGGCAAATGAAGTTGCTAAGCCTCTGGCCATCATATTTGAAAAATCATGGCAGTCAGGTGAAGTTCCCGACGACTGGAAAAAGGGAAATATAACCCCCATTTTCAAGAAGGGGAAAATGGATGACCGGGGGAATTACAGACCAGTCAGTCTCACCTCTGTGCCTGGCAAAATCTTGGAGCAGGTTCTCCTGGAAGGCATGCTAAGGCAGGTGAAAACCAACAAGGTGCTTGGTGACAGCCAGCATGGCTTCACTAAGGGCAAATCCTGCCTGACCAATTTGGTGACCTCCTATGATGGGGCTTCGGAACTGATGGAGAGCGGTAGAGCAGTTGATGTCATCTACCTGGACTTGTGTAAAGCGTTCGACACTGTCCTACATGACATCCTTGTCTCTAAATTGGAGAGACATCAATTTGATGGATGGACCACTTGGTGGATAAAGAACTGGCAGGATGGCCGCACACAAAGAGTTGTGGTCAATGGCTCAATGTCCAGCTGGAGACCAGTAACGAGTGGTGTCCCCCTGGGATCTGTGTTGGGAGTGGTCTTGTTCAACATCTTTGTCGCTGACATGGACAGTGGGATTGAGTGCGCCCTCAGCAAGTTTGCCGATGACACCAAGCTGTGTGGTTTGGTTGATACGCTGGAGGGAAGGAATGCCATCCAGAGGGACCTTGACATGCTTGTGAGCTGGGCTGATGCCAACCTCATGAAGTTTAACCATGCCAAGTGCAAGGTCCTACACCTGGGTCGGAGCAATCCCAGGCACAGCTACAGGCTGGGCAGAGAAGAGATTCAGAGCAGCCCTGTGGAGAAGGACTTGGGGGTGCTGGTCGATGAGAAAATGAACATGAGCCGGCTTCAGTGTGCACTTGCAGCCCAGAAAGCCAACCGTATCCTGGGCTGCATCAAAAGGAGCGTGACCAGCAGGTCGAAGGAGGTGATCCTGCCCCTTTATTCTGCTCTCGTGAGACCTCACTTGGAGTATTGTGTGCAGTTCTGGTGTCCTCAACATAAAAAGGACATGGATCTGTTGAAACAAGTCCAGAGGAGGGCCACGAGAATGATCAGGGGACTGGAGCACCTCCCGTATGAAGATCGGCTGAGAAAGTTGGGGCTGTTCAGCCTGGAGAAGAGAAGGCTGCGTGGAGACCTCATAGCAGCCTTCCAGTATCTGAAGAGGGCATATAGGGATGCTGTGGATGGACTCTTCATTAGGGACTGTAGTGATAGGACAAGGGGTAATGGGTTAGAACTTAAACAGGGAAGTTTAGATTGGATATAAGGA